GAGCCATTCTGTGATTCTGTGACAGTTGCGGTTGATGTTCTTTCTGTCTCTCCCCACACATCTCCCTGCATTGATGCCTGAATGACAGATTTACACATGCATCTTGCTTCCAATTTCCACATCTGTGGGCTGAGTTGTTGGGTCTCAGCAGGGAAAAGGAGAAAAATCCATATTCACCTTTGCTCCTTGTTGTCTTCTTTTGCTATGATTCCCATGGAACCATCCTGAGTCTTTGGGGATGCCATTCTGGAGAGGAAATCCCAGTTCTTCCAGTCCTGGGAAGCTGTGGAAATGTTTCCTCCTCCCAGTTCCCCCTCCATTTCCTTTCCCACCCTCATTTTCAGGCTAGAGACCCTTGCTGCTGTCCCCCCTTCCCTGAACACCTGCAGCCCTCCCTGACACCTCCCAATACCTCTGTCTACTCCCGGGAGCTTGGCACATCCTCCAAGTATCCCTTTCCCCCCCACCAGCCCTACTTCTTTCTTCTCCGTCTGGGAGATCAGTCACGGAGGGTGTTGACACGTCCGACTCCCCTGGGAGGATGGGGAGCACGGAGCTGGGGGTGTTGTTGTGCTGCAAGGAGGCAGAGCTGCCACGAGCAGCCGCTTTGATCTGCAGACAATTACAGGGGAGTGTCGGACCCTGCTTCGCTCAGCCGATAAATAATGGAATTGGCGCGTTGACACAGACAGATTCCCCCCAAACTGTCAGCAAAAGGGAGACGGGGAGGGAGCAGAGAGGGAGGCAGAGTGACAGGAGGGAAGGAGAGATGAGCAGGGAGAGGAGGAGGAGGCCATGTGTGGAAGCAGAGGCAAGGGAGGAATGCATGAGTTTGGGGAGGCCCTGCTGCTGGGGGCAAAAGGATAGGGAGAAGGAGCGTGTGGAGAAAGGACAGCAGCAAGGAACCTGTATCTGTGCAGGGGAAGGAAAATGAGGCAGGAAACGTGCCTGATTGTGGGAGAGATGTTTGCACAGTGGGTTGGAAGTGGGCGGTGGGGGCGGGAGGGCTGAAATGTGGAGGTGGAAGAGCAAGAGGAGGAACAAAGGGCGGGCAGCGCCCGCGGCTCCCGGCTGCCCCGCGGCCTGCGCGCTCAGCAGTGCATGGAGCTCTGGGCGTGCAGCGCTCCGCAGCGGCGCCCGGACCCCCCGCAGCAGCACCCGGACCCCCGAGGCTCCCCGCGCCGCAGCAGGGGCAGGGGGCCGCACGCGCCATTTGGTCAAATGATTCCCTGGTGCGCGGCCGGCGACAGCAGCAACGGGCCCCGAGCTCACGGCTCCCCAGGAGGGCTCCCGTGGACACCGCGTCCCCGTGTCCCCTCTCTCCTGCTCCTTCCCTCCCTGCTTCTCCCCATCGCCCTCCCCGTTCTCCCCATTGCACTCATCCTTCTCCAGCTCTAAGCTGTTTGCTTTCTGGCTGTTGCTGGGTTTTACTTTCATCAGAACAGAAAACCTGCCTCTGTCGTGCTTGTGCGCTCTGCCACCAGCCTCCCACGCTCACGAGCCCTTGCGCCAAGCCCAGCACAAAAGCTCCTTGCAGCAACCCACCAGCCGGACAGCTCTGCCAGGGCCGGATCCTCTCCGGGGCCCGAGGCCTCTCCGTTCGGAGCACTCAAGGGCACTGTCACTTCTCCCTCAGCCCCTTTGGTGGCCTCCGCTCCTCCTTCCCTGGGGATGTCCATTCCAGCCGGTGCTTGGGCTGTTGCCCTCCATGTTACTCGGTGGGCTCTCCCCCAGCAGCAAATTCTTCTCCTGGGGGGAAACGAAGCGGGACAGGTCCCATCCCCCGAGCTGGCTGGGTTGAGGGCCACTCCGCAAGGTTTGTGATGGGGCTCAGCCTGTGCTGAGAAGATGAGGAGATGGGAGCAGCGGAGGGTTGACTGATGGGGCACGGGGGATTCCTCATGTCCTGGCCCTGCCTCTGTCCTCCCCCTTCCAGAGCCAGAGTTTGATGGCAGGTTTGCCCAGCATCCTGTTACTGGGTCAAAGTAGAGCAGGAGGGCGGTTTTGCGGGGATGTGTCCCACAGAGGTGATTTAGCTGAATGAGGGTGAACAGTGAGAGCTGCTGCCTAAGTGGGGCAGCATGAATGTACAGCCTGAGCACCAGGAAGACCCAGGCCCCTACGTGGCAGTACAGGGCGGGAGAAAGGGAGGGAAATGGGTGCAAATTGTTCCCCAAGCTGGTCTTCCAATGTCAACATTGCCAACAAGATGCTTGTGGCCTGTCCCTTCCACCCTGTGCAGTGATGCAGGGGGCCAGGCTGGGACCCCCCATCCCCTACATCCCTTCCAGTCTCTGGCGCAGCATCAAACCTGGTTGTTTTGCTGGTACGGTGGGAACCCTGGGATGGATCTGGCTGCTGCAGCTCTAGTCCCGAGTGCAGTCAGACGAGAGGGCCAGGCCTGGGCAGGACGGCAGGAGAGGGCAGGGCTGGGGGGTGCAGAGCAGCCCTCTGACGATGCACGTGGTGAGACTCATGTCTTCCCTTCCTGAGGGACCAGGACAGGGAAGAGAAGCAGCAGCATAAGCAAAAGAGATTTGTGCTTCCTCTGGGGTCTGTGGTGATGCTTGAGTGCTTCCCCAAGCACCACCATCAATATTTAATTTCACAGAGCTGGGATAGATTTCCTCAGGGTGACCAGAGTCCTCAGCTCGGCTGGGGCTGTACGACGTGCACAGAGGTCTGGGGTCATCCCCATAGGGTTGAGGGACTGCACACTATGAAGAACCACCCCATGGCCAGGCTGGAGCGGACCCTGCACCAAGACCAAGCACGAAGGTGGCTCCAGGCAGATCGAACCCCATTCCAGGGAGATGGACCCCTGGCCTGGATGTGGAAGAGGGAAAAATGCCCCTCCTTGCTTCACCAACCCCCATCTGGCCCAGTCCAAACCAGGGGAAGAGCTGCACCAAATGGGGCACAGCTCCAGGAAGAGGGAAGGCAGAGGGAGCGGACACAGAGCAGCTAGTGCAGTTAATGGTTTGGGGAAGGAGCCAGGAGAGGTGCTAAACTGGATCCAGCTTCCCTGCAGATAAAACCCAAAAGCAGGGCTATCCCACAAAGGCCCAGTCTCCCATCCCTAGCTCAACACGAATCCAGGAGAGCTAATCAGGAGACAAGGAGAGTCACTGCGGCAGTACGAGGGGTAGCGAGCAATGGGTTAACCTGCGAGAGCAATAAGCAGCCGTGGGAGCAAAGGGTTAACGCAGAGTGTGCAGGGACCGTTATCTGTCTTTCTCTAAATATTATTTCCTCCCATGAAACCAGCTTTTCATCCTTGGCTAGAGGCAGCTCCCGCTGCTGGGAATCCAGCTGGTATCACTGCTCCTGCACACGCGAGCGAGCGGCCAACACAAAGCGGAGGGAGCAGCCCCGGCCGCGCTGGAGCGCAGAGGCAGCCGCCCCGGCCCGCGCTGTCGATGGCCTCGGGCTTGGGCTTGGGTAAAAGGCTTTCAGTGAAAGCTGGGGAAGAAGCGTGGTAATGAAAGCCCTGCTCCCGGGCTGCTGCGCATGCATTTCCTCCTCCTCCTCCTCTTCACTGGGGAACAGAGCAATGGAGAGCAGCAGGCAGAGAAGGAACAGGACCTCCAAAAGGCTGAGGTGGCCCTAAGCAAACTCAAGCTCATCAGCATGAAGCTGCTCCATTTTGTCCATTTCCCTCTGGAAAGCAGGGAAGCATTTTCGGGAGCTGGGAAAGCTGGGCTGCCCCTTTCACATCTCTCCCCCAGGGTGCATGGGAAGGAAAGATCTGCTCCCTGGGGAAGCTGAGGCAGCAGCCCTGGACACTGCTCCAAGGTCACAAAGCAGGGATGCTGAAGGGTGCCAAGTAGCCTCCATCAGCCCATAGGGGCTCCCAGTCCCAAACAAATTCATGGAGGCTGCAGCAAGGGTCCCTTTGGCTGCAGAGCTGGTGCCTGGGGGACAAAACAACTGCTGCTAAACCTCGTCTGAAACAGCCCAAAGTTTTTAATGTGCGTGAAACGGCGCCGCAGCAGCCTCCCTTCTGCATCCTAGAGGGCACAAAGGCACGAGCGGCTCCTCTCTCCCGTTCAGCCTGAGCCACGTGCTGCCCTGTGAGCAGCGCCAGGGATGTGGCTGGAATGCAAGTCGCCGCTCGAGCCTGGGCACCGAGGCAGGCCTTGCCAAAGGCAGAGACTTGCCGAGTTGAAAGGGTCAAATCTCCAAGGACAGTTGTATCTGACTGGCTCTATATCATTTCCATGGCATCTTCAATGGGGATTATAATCTGAATTGAAGTGGAAAGACCCGAGGCAATGAAGCTGTCAGCAGTCTAAGATTAAGGAATTAAAACAGCAGCAAAGCATTATAGGATTTGTTCTAGGCGTATTGGAAAGAGGCAACTCAAAACACTTCAGCCTTTCTCGCGTAGCAGATTTCATAAAGGTACAGAGAAGGGCAAGAACAACGATCCCATCAATATACATGAAAGAGCAGCAGCAGAAAGGGAGACTCTGGGCTATGAAGATTCAGCCGCACAAAACGCAACACACGACTGGAGATGGAAGTGATCCACACAAGGTTGAACTGAGGTAAGGAAAATGCAGCAATGAAGCGGATTTAGGCGAGGGCAGAGGCAAAACAATGGTCAAAAGAGAGGAAAGAAATGGGCCTTCATACAGGCAATGGCAAATTCTGGCACACCGCCTGGTCCGCGCTGAGATTCCCTAATGGAAATGCAGATCCCTAGCCTCATCCCCTCCCGCTCTCCCACCCCCTTAGTTTTACACACGGCTCCAGAGCCGCTTTAGAAAGCAAAGAATGAGGGCAGCTGCCTGCACAGGGGAGTTGGCAGCTGAGCAACGATGCGCTGAGGGACAGCGGGGGACAACAAGCACTGCCTTCGCCTCCATCGGGCGCCCCAGGGGAGCAGTGCCAGCTCTGCAGACCTCAGGAGACACCAGCCGCTCTTCTTGGCGAGATGCAGAGGCTCCTGAATCAAAACCAAGCAGAAAAGGAATCAAACTCCTATTGGGCCAATAAAAAACATCAATTTATTTATTTTTTGGCAAGTTGCACACACTTCTTTTTGCCGTTCGTTCTATCCTAGCTCAATCCTGGAGAGGAATTTCTCCCTTGGATTAAAGATGCCAGAGTTATGCCATGAAACACAAGGGAAAACGGTAAAATAAAACAGATTCCTTATTGATAAAATACACAGGAAATTTCAGCAACTCAGACTCCATGTGGCCAACAGTTCTGCTCAGCACCAGCCATAAGGGTTCAGGCTGTACAAATCAGCACCACTCAGGATGGTACCTCAGCTGCATGATCCAAAACAAAACCAAGTCCTTCCCTGCACCATGGGCACACAATCCCAAAACAACTGAGCTCACATGACAATTAAAATAATTGAGTGATGCTGTGTGTACAGAACCACGGTACTTTATTGACCCCAAAACCTACCTAGCAGAACAGTTCCCTGCACACACAAGGCCACAGAGCACAGTAACAGGTAGCCAGATCTAGGACACAGAAGGAAATGGGAAGCTAATGGCAGGTGCAGTGTGTTTGCAGCACAGGAAGAACGCGGGATCTGTTTCCAATTCCTCCAGCCACCTTCTCCTGGGAGATTTACATACAAGTCCTCAATCAAGTCTTTAAAGAGTTATCCAGAATCTCCTGGTTAAAAACAATCTGTTTCAAGAAAAAAAAAAAGGAGAGTCCAGAGCTGCTCAGTGATTCTTCTTGGTTGAACCAAAACCAGAGAAACCCATCACAGCTGCCATTTCATCGTCCTCTTCAAATGTCAAGTCTTCCTCTGCCCTCCGTTTCTTCTCTCTCTGCTTCTCCTTTTTGTAGGCTTTAGCCTTTTCCTCCTGCAGTGACAAAAGAAAGAGATGAAATTCCAAGTAATTTGAACCTCCTTAGCTGACCAAGCTTTTGGGACACTGGGCACCACACAGGTATCCCAAGACCTACCTAGAACCCAAAACGTATCCAAAGAAATAAAAGAGCCAGAGGAAACAGTGCGCTGTGGTCTCCTGGGAGGTCTCCCAGCATCTACAGACCACAAGAGCGAAGTCACACCTGCAGCAGGTGTGATCAGAGAGAAGTGCCACGAAATTGTCAGCTTCTGCCTCACAACGAATGTCAAAAGGCTTCATCCGGAGCCAACACAGAGGCAGGAAGAAGCAGTTTCTAAAGCAGGAGATTCCCTGTTCTAATGACTGTGATGTTGGGAGCGGCCACCCGGCCCCTTCCCGAGGGGCCTAAGCCGCTCCCTGGAGCGGGCGCCGAGCACCCAGCAGCTTCAGGGCGTTTAGCATCGAAGTGTTTGCACGGCTCCCATCACGGCCCTTTGCTTCACAAGGATCGTGGCCAGAGAATGGCGCCAGGCCTGTGCAGGGTCACGTTGAAGCTCAGCTCTGGCTCCCAATTTAGCACCATTCCTATCGGTAGCTGCCACGCTGGGGCAGAGGAAGGCGGCCCTGCAGAGCTACAGCCCAAAGCTGCTGCCCATTTCCTCACTGCCATCAACTGGTCGGGGCTTTTCAGCCCTGCCTGCACCGCTGGGGCAGCTGTCTCCTGCCGCTTCCAAACGGATTAGACTCCACGCAGCAAAGGCTGCTGGAGAGGGAGCCCAGGGCTGCTTTTTGTGCTAGGACGCCAGCAGCAACAGCCCGAACAGGGTACCCAGCTGTGCAGCAGAGCTCAGGGCTCAGGCAGGGAGACTCAAACAGGCAGCAGTTTTAATATTTGGCTTTTAAATGACGGCTGATCAAAGAGAAGCAGCCACAGCAGCTCCCCAGTGCCCAGGAGGACGCTGTCAGCTGCCTTCCCAATGAATTTAATCTTCACTTCATGAAGCAGCCCTTTAAGCCCAGGTCGGGGAGGGCTTCGGCATCTCCCACATCCCTCACAAGCCTCTTCCCCATGTTGGGAGGTCACGCAGAGGAGCAACCCCAACAATCCCATGGATCATGTGGAGTTTCCGGACAACGGGGGACAAAAACACAGATCTAAGTTCAAACGTGAGGGATGGCAGATAGAAACCCAGTGCAGTGCAGGAGCATCAAAAGCAACTCTTGCACACGAAGAGGGAAAAGGATTCCCAAAGACACTGGTGGAAAATTAAAGAAAACAAGAACAAACCAACCAACCAACCTGAAAGCTGCATACCAGAGGCCCATGCTATCAAGAACAAGGTTTCCGTTGAAAAGAGTTACGAAATGGACTTGCCTTCTTCAGGAAAGATGTTTTTGGGGGGCCCCTGGGTGAGCAGCGCGTTGTCACTGTGCAGACTCACCTCCTCGCGAAGCTCCTTCATCCTCTCCTCAAAGTCATAATCCTTCTGCTTCTCCTCCATCTTCTTCTTGTTCACCTCAAAGCGTTTTTTCACCTGGTCCAGCGTGGAACGCTCCACCCTCATGGACATGCCCAGGTTCCTCTGGTCTAGAGGGAAATGAGCAGAGCCAGTCAGGCCGAGCCAGACTCTTCGCTTTTAATTGCCTAAAATTCAGTGCACAGCCTCTCCCTCCACCCCTATTCAGTACCTTGATGTAGCATCATCCTGCTGCTTGCCACTAATCCCCTTAAAGCAGCTCCTCTTGCCAGACTAAGCTCTCGCACAGGCTGTTTGTGGTTCATTCCTGACCCACCTGCACTGGATTCTGCTCCAAAGGGCAAGCAAACAACCACCAAAAGTGCAGTTTTGTCTCCCATGGCTCTGTGAGGCACTAGCACAACACTGTACAAGCACCAAGCCTTTGGTACACAGGCCCACAACACATATGAACAGCCTGGAGCGTCAATCAACCCGCTAACAACCACAGACAAAAACTGTCCTTACGTTTTTTGCCATTGATGTGATCCAAGAAGTTAATGGAGTCTTTCACCACACAGTCACATACGTTGCAGTAGTACCTGACAGGAGAAAGAGAGGCATCAGCTCCAAAACATGGGACAAACTTCACTGGGGACAAACAACTGGTTAAGAATCTCTGAAATGTAAAATCCACATGCGTTTTGGACCCACTGCTTCTGATCCAGACAGCTGCTCTGGGCTAAAACTCAAATTAGAGCAATGTCCCAAAGCCAAAATTCCTTTCTCCATTACAGAAGGGAGTGCTTCCATCCCTGTACTCTGCACGGATCCGTGCATCTCCTTGGGCATTGCTGGCTACTTGTCCGTGCCAATGAGTCACCTCCAGGCTTCTTCTCAGAATAGTACAACCACAAAGCAGATTTTTAGCTGCTCAGTGGCTTAGATGAGCTAAAAACCCTTGCAGCACTTGGCCAAGCACAAGCCTCACCAGCAGCAACCAAACGCTGTTCATCCAGCCAGGTCTCTGGCCGATTCTCTCATTCCCCACGCAAAGATATCAGAATTCCAGACCCGGATCAGCTGCAGGGAGTCTCTCCCTTAGCTAACAAACACCCGGCATCCATGTCGGTTCATTTTCATGGGAGGGTGAAGCAGCACTGGTAGCGAGCAGCAACGCAGGCAGGGGCTCATCCTGCTGCCTCACTCCCGTGTGTCACCCCACACGGCTCAGTTTCGGTGCAGCCCCACACTGCCGCAGCTCACCAGGCTCAACAGCCAGCAGGAAATTGCTCCTGCCCACGTCTTCCCAATCCAAGCCCGATTCCAATGCCCAGGCCACAACCTACCCTCCCATCTCTGACTGCGGGGTGGTTTTGGTGATGACGATGGTCTTGCCCAGCTTGGATTCCAGGTCCACCTTGTAGTCGCGGTGCCGCAGGAGCTCCCTTTTGACAGGCTGGGCCGGTTTGCCTGCAACGTAAGCAGAAAACCCAAGTTCTCGTGAGGAAAGGTCCAGCTTTATGTGCTGGATTTCGCGTTGCCCTCAGCAAAGAAAAGGCCCGTGATGAACCTGAGAACTAAAAGACTTATTCAAGAATTGCACTTTTTCTTTTGTCAAGCAAAAGGTTCCATTTCCTCTTCACTGTGCTGACCAGCATTAAGATTCTTATAAGCAGATCAGTAAGGCATCCTCTGCTCCGATTTAGGTCACCCTCTAAGATTTTCCTGTTTCCAGAGGTTGGTCGTTTCTCCCCCTCCAAACAGAACAAGCAGACAGAGGCAAAGGTTCACAGTAATTGCTTTTGGAACAATTATTTTCAACAGCAATCAGAAGAAAAAGGATCAGAGCAAGCCAGCCTTGCACTGCTGTTACTTCCCATTGGGATTTCCCTTTTTGCTGCTCTCTCCCGCTCAACCTCAAAGGGTTTGGGTGACTCGCTGCCAAATGAGCAGAGCTTGCCCGGGGTCAGTGTGTTACCCACCATCTTTCTTTTCTCTCTCTTCCGTGAGCCGCTTCTCTGCAAGTTTCTCATATTCATCTTTGTCCCACTTTCGGCGGAAGTCCAAATTCTTAGTCTGGGAAGGAAATAAAATGTGGATTAACTTGGGTTTTGCAGTTTGACTAGCTATGAGAGACTGGGGGGAGAATCGGCATCATTTGGCCTGCGATGCCACACAAAGATATTAAGGTGCTACATTATATTCCTATCTCCTGTTTTTGTACCCAGAAACTAACGATACAGTTTAACAGCATAATCCTCAGGATGCCTCTATCTGCTTCTTTCAGAAGAATTTCAAAGCGCTGAATAAAGTAATGAGTTTATCTTATGTTTATCTAATGACTTATCTATAGTTCCCGAGACAATTATTCGTGTTTTACATTTGAAAACCAGGCACACACGGGATTTAAACCACTTGATCTTGGACTCGCCACCTGACAAAACACAGGGAAGCCATTAGCTCATTACAGCAGGTCTTTCCAAAGTCAATTAAAAGTGAGTCCCCCTCCCCCCTAAATTAATTAATCCGCTTGATTAAAGCATATGCAGAAATATAATGGGATGTGTACACCTGCCCTCAAAGACATCAGCAGCATGTGTGGGTATTACAGGAATCCCAGGACTGAGTTTGCCACTAAACTCCCAGGAAGCTCCCCCAATTCCTATTTCCAGGAAGGAGAAGAAGGAGAAATCCCCTAACACTGGCTCTAACTAGCTCTCAAATCAGGGAATGAGGGGACAAATTGTGGGAATGAAGCAGAGTTGAGGGGAGGCCAGCAACAGAGATGTGCACAGGCTCTTCTTTGCGCAGGGAGCTCGGTCACCACCCGTCACATGGGGATTTTTACCAACAGTGGAGGGCTGAAGTGACCCGAGAACAACCCTTTTCCTACCCTCTCCCACCTGGGAGAGCCTCTTCTTGATGCCTGCACTCCATGCAGTAAAAGCTGCCAAGAAAAGGTCCAACCTCACAGCTCTGACACTTCTTTGCTTTCTGAAAAAGACAATTCTCAGATGATGAGAAAGCTGTGTTTCACTCGCTCCAATGAGTCCCCAATTTCATACTGAACGTGAGGATGGCGGTGCTTTAAACCACCTCTGGGAACAAAAGGACCCACAAACACCCACCACCTTCCCCAGGGCAGCCGAATGGAGAATCCAACTGCAAGCCAGAGAGAATAAATCCCATTTGGAGACACTGCAGTGCAATCATTGAAGGTTTTCTCCTCCGGCAATCCTTTGAATGGAAGGAACAACTACTGATAAGAATAAAAACGCCTTGGAGAGAGGGAGAGAGGTTCTCATTTACTCCCAGAGCTTCTTAAGCATTTTAAATGTATCATAACAGGTTTTATTAGCCACCCCGAGCAAAGGGGAAAGGAATTATCATACACTGCAAATTAGTGTTTCGGGGTGTTTTCCAGAATCGAGATTCTCTCTTGTACTTATTACCACAAATCAAAGCTGGTTGGAGCCCACAGAGGAAAAACTGAGCTCGCTGCTTCGCTCTTTGGTTATAATAAAAGGAAAAGCGTCTTTTCACAGATCTTCACCAGCCTCCCCGGGCCAAACACACTGCAACAAATCGAACGCGACTGCGAGCGACCGGTGGCACCGTCTGCGCTGCTCGATACCCAGAGGAGCTCTCCTTAATTGGTGCAGCAGAAGCAAGGGGGGCTGCAAGACCCCAAACCCCCATCTGACAACTGCTCGGGGGAGACATACAGCATTTCCCAAGTAAGTAATAACAACTAAAGCCCGAGCAGGGCTCTAAAGCCTCCCACTTGCTGCAGATGCAGCCATCGAACGACCTGCTCCGTGTCAGAGCCTATAGGAGACCTCGCCAGGCTCAAGGACGGACAGACGGAGCGGCCGGGGCCGGGGCCGCCCTCGGGAACCTGCGGTCGCTGTGCGCGGGCAGGCCGCGCCCGGGGCGGGCGGCGGCGCTGGGCCGGCACGCGCGGGAAGGAGCCGCTTCCACGTCCGCGCCGCGCAGGGGGCACCGCGGGGCGGGCTCCTCGCCCCAGGCCGCGCGGCCGCCTCTGGAGCCGCCACGAGGGCCCCGGGCGGGCAAGGAGGCGCGGAGGCCGCGAGCACCGGAGAGGGGGAGACCGCCCCCGCCGCCCGCCCCGCCGCCACCTACCCCGCTGCCCGACGCCATGTTGGCGGTGCCGCCGAGCAGAGAGCGGAAACGGTCGCGCTCCGCACGCCGCGGGCCGTAAAGCGAGGCGGTCCGCCCAGCGCCGCCGAGGCGCCGCCTCGCTGCCCCGCAGCGACGCGGGAGGCGCTTGCGTCACGCCGCGCGCCACCAGCCGGCTCCTCGTCTCTATGGTCGTCGCGGGCCGCCCGCTCCTCGTCTCTATGGTTGCGGCGCGCCGCCCGCTCCTCGTCTCTATGGTTGCGGCGCGCCGCCCCGGCGCTCCCGCTGCGGC